TTATTTATTTCACGGTTTTCTTCTATTTATTTACGATTTTCGTTATTTGTCGTAATTTCGGATAGATCGTCGGTTCGATTTTACTTTTTCTGGTATGATAATCGTCGGCAGATTTTTAACGGTGCCTGTACACACTAAACTGTTTCTGAGCCGCGAGCGTTAATCAGAAAATCTATTTCAAAATGATGCGCGTCGCGAAAATAACGCGTACCCCGTATAAATAAGGAAGGTATCAACTCGGCTGAAAACGGGATACATAGTAAATTACTTCTCATTACTTTTTTAAGATTAGTTTTTATGACAATTTGAAGATACTGTACGTACTTACGTGCGTATGTACGTAACAATTTTTTATCCTTCAAATTACTGAAATTACTCAATCGATTTAAATTACTCAAACGATTTAAATTACACAATTTATTTAAATTACTCAAATTATTCAAATTACTCAAATTATTCAAATTATATTCAAATTATTTAAATTATTTAAATTACTCAAATTACTTAAATTATTTAGATTATTTAAATTATTTAAATTATTTATATTATTTAAATGATTAAATTATTTAAATTATTTAAATGATTAAATTATTTAAATTATTCAAGTGATTTAAATTAGGATAGCAAAAGTTTGAATAAATTAAAGAACTTTTAATAGACTTTTTTTTAAAAAAAAAAATATGTAACCAAGTAAATAAACAATGAATAAAATTACATTAAACAAAACGAAGGAATGCACTGTATATGTATGTATATATATGTATATGTATATATAATCAAACAAAAAAAAAAGGTACTTTTTTTTAATGAAGAAAAAAAAAAGAAGGGTTAATCATTTTTAGAAATATAATCTAAAATTTTTTCGAAACCGTCTACATCAAATACATTATCACCAAATTCATCACTAAGTAAATATCTCTTTATAAACATTTCACTATCATTTTCATTTATTTCAATTTTTTTATAAAAATTGAAATCAATTTTTTGCCGTTGAACCATATTTTCAATTTTATAATTAATGTCTCTCATGTTTATCCAAATCCATATATTTACACCAAAGCTAAGTAATAAAATCCAAATCAACAAAGTTTCCAAGTTAGGTAACCTCAATCTTCCAATAATACATAATATAGTTTCTAATATTTGAGTTAATATTGATATAGAGGTTGATAATATTAATTGTACATAGTTCGTCTCTTCAATCTCATTTTGTAATTTTCGAGAGTGTAAATTTATTTGCGAAGATCTATGAGAAGAGATCCTTGAGGAGAAGGAAGAAACTGAATGTTGACCTGAAATACGTTTTGAACGAATTGAATGAGATTTTGATGGTTGCCTTGTCATTGAATCATCATCTTTTGAAATCGGAAGATCTACGAAAACGTTATTTTTTGGAGAAATGTGTTTTCGAAGAGCTTTATCTAATGATTTAAAATAACATAGTTGACCGCTCATGGCGCCCTTTTCTATTGGTACTATAAAATTAATTATAAATAATTAATTATAAAGAATTAATTATATAATAATTACAAGGGGAATTTAAAGAGTATAAATAACAAACTTTTTAAAAATGTTTTTTTTGAAAACTCCACACATGCAGTAACGATAACACGAGTTTTATTCGTGCCAGCCCACATGATACATATTCGAGTCTTTACACAAAATGAGGTTCCTGATGGGATATCAGGAGTTTTAGTTGTGGTCATTACAGTTACGTGACTATTTAAAGACAAATAAGAATAAGAATAAGGATGTAAAAATAAGAAAGTAACAAATATTTAATAAAAAGAAAGGGACTTACTCATTAAAATCTTTATGCAAAATTTCATCTTTTAGATAACATTTCGTACTCTTTAAAACTATATTAAAACGAAAGGTTAGATTTAAATAATATAATAAAAGATATAATTATTATAATTATTATTATTTACAATTATTATAATAATTATAATAATTATAATAATAATAATTATAAATAATAATAATAATAATTAAAAATAATAATTAATAATTATAATAATAATAATAATTAATAATTATAATAATAATTATAATAATTATAATAATAATAATAAATAATAATTATAATAATAATTATAAATAATAATTATAATAATTATAATAATTGTAGTTATTATAATTATTATGAAACAAGTAAAAATAAAATATACCAATAGGATTATCTATTTTCTTCATATAGTTAGAATCCCTAGTCATACAACCATTTTCATCAGTTGACCATACACCAAGTTCAATATCGTTATTATTTTCAAGTTTTTGCACAAACTCCGGTACAAAGTTACTATCAAATAAGAGAGTATAAAGACTTTCAACACTACCAGAGTATTTTGTATCCAATACTACAAATGTCGAGTGATCATTTTGTTGAAGACATTTACATATTGTTTCTTTAGGTTGCATGATTTCATCAGAGGAAAAAGATTGTTGGCGACTTGGAATTTTTGGTATTGAAATACTTAAATTAGGGAGAATCTTCTTTTTTGAATTAGATTCAGAGGCATTTCCATTGTCACTAATGTTATTCTTATCATTTACAGAGAGATAATCTGTAACATCTTTTGAAGAAAGATTTTGTGGAGGACTATTAGAACTCTCAACTTTTACGATCTGTTTATCATTTTGATCAAAGTTACGAGATGATTGCTTTGAAATCAAATTTAATTTTGGTAAGGAGAATTTTCCATTACGAGATTTTGCTGTTGATAATTAAACAAGGTAAGCAACAGTAACATAATAACATAAATTAATAAATTAATAAATTAATAAATTAATAAATTAATAAATTCATAAATTCATAAATTCATAAATTCATAGATAATTAAAGACATACATTTTTCAGTCTCAGAATCTTTAGTAGGTTCAGAATCAGTACCCGAATTATAAGTGGTACTATTGTAACTAATAGAACGAGAAGTTTGAGTAACAGTAGTATAATCAGAGCCACCCTCTGATAAAGAAGGACTGTGACCACAAGTGGGATTTACGCGTTGCCATAGTTTTACGAATAGATCATATGCAAGATCTCGAAAGATGAATGAGGCGAACAAATACTGATTACAATAATTATAGGAAAACAATGGAATGAGAATTTTGAACAAACAAGAGTTTTCGAGTATATAAGAAGTATAAGCATACCTTTGATTTGACAGTAGTTATTAAAATTGCATTTGGAATTACAATAGCAGTCATCCTTTTTTCAATTTTTACTATGTCGGAGAACGGTATCACAACCTTTAAAGAAACAAAGCAATATTAAAAAAAAATATATATTGAAAAAAATATATTAAAAAAAATATATCGATATATATATATATATATATATATATATATATATATATTATAACATTTGTAATTTAAAAGAAATAAAAAATTGAAAATTACATCAGTAACCCAACCCAAGATATTTGCATGAAAGCAAATATGATTCAAAGAAACATAAGTTCTTCCTTGTAATAGAATTTCCTTTTGTAATGCGCAACCAAAATCTGAAAAAAGATAAAATGAATATGATTAGAAAAGATTATTTTTTACAATTATTTTTTACAATTATTTTTTACAATTATTTTTTTACAATTATTTTTTACAATTATTTTTTAAAATTATTTTAAAAGAATTTTAAAATTATTTAAAAGAATTTTCTAGAGAGAATATTACCATTTAAAAGATATTCGTCACATGGAATGCTTTTAAAAAATGAGTGATATTCTTTATTACGTTTAGGATTTTCCATAGCATAATCAGTAAGTAAAGAACCATCAAAAAGCATGGAATCTGAAGGACTAGAATTTTTCATTATTTGAGAACTATCCTTTTCCATATCGGAAGTAGTAGCAGATATAGAAGAATCAGGGTATGGATCAATTTCTAAATTCGAAGCACTAGCGTTATCAGAGCTGCTTTGATCGGAAGATTTATTAACTTTGACATGAGGAGAAGTAATGAAACGATTTGGAGAAGGTCTTTTTTTTGAAAATTTTAATCTAGGGATAGGAGATTGTTGGACAGTAGCTATAGTGGTAGATACTTGAGTGAATACACAGATTTCGCCTTTAAGATTATTTTGAGTATCGTCACTTTGTAAAGAAGAAGGATCGGTTATAGGAGTAGTCAAATTTGAATTTATAAAATCATCAGAAGTATTTAATGAAGAGGGAGAAGAATCATAAGAAGCCAAAACCTCTTCGAAACCTTCAAAGTAATAATTATTTGGGAACTTTGAAGGAGTATTCATAGAGGTAGAAGGAGGAGTTAGAGGAGGAGTAATAGCCAAATCTACATGAGAAGATTGAGAGACATCTAATAAATTGGTGTTTTGGTTACCATTAAATGAAAGATTTTGTTTAAAAGCAACAGGGGGAGGAGTTAAAAGAGAATCATTAGGTTGAACCAGGTTTAATTTATTTTTGACTAATTTATTTTGGTCATCGTTAGATAAGATGGTAGGAAAAGAAGTAGAGGTTGATGCAGACATTTTTTAAATAATTAAAAGAATAAAGAATAAAAATGAACGACAGAATCCAAAATAGAATCCGAAAAAAGATTTAAAAATATTTATGTAAGAATGATTTATAATTCTTCAACCTAATGGTGAATAAATTTTAAAAGGCCACGGACCATTAAAATCACCAAAAGGTTTACATAAAATTAAGAAAGTAGTATCGGCAACCTGATGTGCATTCAAAAAAGAAAAAAGTAGAATGGATTAGCCGACTACTTTAATAGTAAGTGACGTTAATGCATAATAAAGAAAAATGAAGGGAATGCAACCAACCCGCAAGGTAGCGGGAGGAAAAGATCAGGAGAATTTAAAACGAAAACCGACAAATGAGACTCAAAATAAACAAACACTGAAATAAACTGTACCAATCCAGCATAATTTTAAATGAACACTACCTAATTAAGTGCGTTTTTGTACTCTTACCTTTTTGATCCATTGATGTTGTTACGTAGTGTTACGGTTAGTGTTACGATTAGTGTTAGTGTTAGCGTTAGTGTTAGCGTTAGTGTTACTGTTACCATTACTGTTACGTGTAATTTAGAACAAAGATACTGATTTATTTTATAAAGCATCATCGGTGTATCTTCTTCATACACGTGTATGTATATCAAAAACGCATACATAGCGATCATAAATGATTAATAATGGTTAATTAATATCATAATTACATCAAAATTAATTCTTATTTAGAATAGTTAATAGCCAATCCTAACTAAACTTTGTTAATCATGTAAATCTAATAAAATAAATAGAAGATAAACATAGAAATAAATAGAAAAAAATCAAAATAAATAGAAATGGATGATCCACCAGCAGAAGAATGTATGCGAGACTTATGAATTAGGATAATAATAGAATTTATAAATATGAATAAAATATGAATAATAGTTACGCATGTACGTATTAACGTTAATAATTATTATTGTGTTATGTAATTCTTAACGCTGAGAAGACATTAACAATTAATGTTATGTAAAAAGTTCTGACTTACCAAACTGTTACAACTGTTACCAATTTGCATTGTTTGTAACTTTTGCTTTTACGTATTCGTCATTGATGAACTTGGACCAACCATCATATGTTTTGGAAATTGACTAATTAAGACGTGTTTAACGTTAATGTTACGTACATCAAATATCATTACGTAGCTTTAAATTAGATTAACGTTAACGTTATCGTATCGTTACGTATTGATTTATTACTGAATAATAAGCCCAATTTTGGTCATTTAATTGAGTGCTACATATGTTAATTTGGTCAAATTTGGTCATTTAATTGAGTGTTACATATGTTAATTTGGTCAAATCGAAACTTAAATTTACCATAATTTACCCATATATAATGAATAATTTATTAACGTTAATTAATTATACGTATAATTTATTATTATATATATATCAATATATACGTACTATATATTTTACTACGTAAGAAATATAACAATACGTACGTAAAAAAGAAGCATATACATATATACATATAGCTTCTATAAACAGGCCATTCTTTGTCTTAAACGAAGGTATGTACGTACGAACACTGTTATTTGGAAATTATATCAATATGAACTATCCAATCAGCTTTATTAGTAATCTTTGAAAATCATCAAAAAAGACATTCGGACAAATAATTAAAGTTTTAAAACTCGGATCGCTACCCCAGTTACTCAAAAAAACATTTAATTATTAATTAGTTCCGAGTTATTTTTGAAACCATCTCTCCTGAAAATTCCAAATGTTCGGATAATTTAGATTATGCATATTCGTATAACATTTGCACAATTTGTACAATTTGTACATGTTGGATTTTAGACTCTTTAATGTAATTAAACTAATCGAACTACTGGTCTAATACTTTTATAGTCGTTTGTATATATAAATATATATCGTCATTAAGTGGACTACGTATATAGTATGAGTATCTGATATTGATTTCACGTACGTACAACCTCTAATTGACGATAAGAGTTTAACAATGATTTGCAAGTTAACCAACAAGCTGTTTGATAATAATAATATTATTATTATATTATTATTATAGTATTATTATAATATTATTATAGTATTACTTAATAAATATTAGAAAAATTCTACAAAAGAAATACGTAGCAATAAAATAACGTTTCCCGTGCCTTATTTTGTAACATCTTTGTAACAGGATTTATGAAAATAGCTTTACAAGGTTGTCGGGCTGGTTTCAAAAAGGCGTCGACCTTGCATGGTCTGACTCGTAACTATTAGTAACTATTATGTGCAAACTCTAAAGAGTGCATAAATACGTAACACGGATATATGTTATTTGTTTCCAATATTATATATTATATAATACGTAACAGTAATATTGATAATATTGATAATATTGATCGGACTTGTCCGATTTTTTTAAGCCCCCCTTGATTCTAGATTCCCCTTGATTCTAGATTTGATCTTTACTGTCCTTTTTAAGAACCAGATGGTATGATCTTTGCAATTTCTAAATATGCACTAGGCTTCATTTTATTTCTGTTAGCTTTCATCTTCAGTAAAATTCCATTTTGATACCAATACAATATTAACACTGTGAATATCATTATATATGTTGTGCGTGAAAACTGAATTATGTATTGAAATTTGTGTTGAGATGCGTAACGTTAAAATGTAAGGTTAAAATAGGTGTTTTGATTCAAACAAATTTGTTAATTTATAAATTTATGTTAAAGAAAATCAAAACTATGGCTTTTAACTCACCTCTTCGATTTTTTAGGTTTAAAAGCTGAAACAGAAGCCTGGTTTTCTTTGCCATCACTCATACTGCATTATATTCTGCTTGTGTTGAATTTATATCATACGTAACTGGTTTTGAATAGCCTGAAATAGTTTCGGCCGCATAATGTGCTGTATGGTTAAACCTGAAATTTGTAAATACTCTGACTGCGTTAATAATTTAATGAATCCTTCATTATTACATATACTCACTCCAACGCTAGATATTACAAGCATACTTAGTATTCTGCTTTAATGTTGTTTATTTGATTGTTAATATACTATATATCTTATTTCAAAATTTTAATTAATAATGAAATGCTGAGAAAAATAAATGATCTTAAACCTCTCATAATTTTTGTTCGATTGATGCTTTTCTTTCCTATTCTGTGCCATGTTTTTGTTATTTTGGCATGAAAAGCTTGTGCAAAATACATGAATATTGCTTAATTATGTTTTTGATTATTACATTCAGTATTAGGGTTCCAAACTCTGATCCGGATACCCGTAGAAAAATTACCCGCCCCATGTTTTTGACAAACCGTTTAAATAAGACGGGTTACCCATAAACGCCACTTAAGTCTGATTGGATGATCGATTAATTGAAATTAATTGATGTGATCCCTGTAACAATTTTGCCGAAAATTCATTGTGCGAAATATGGATTTTAAATTTCTGTCAATCGGAGTAACTTTATGAAAAAAAAAGATGGTTGATTAGACACGATTTATTTTTTCAGCCAATCGGATCACTTTATCGATCATAGCTTGAGAACAACCTTAGTGTCTGAAATCTCCTTATTTGTGCCGGTAATACAACCTCCTAAAAAGGAAATAGCCAATCAGTGAGTTCAAATTTTGGTCGTTCCGGATCAGCCTGACATGAATTCCGAACACGTGCGAAAGAAGAAAAAAGTGAAAATACATGTCGGGAACGAAATTTTACATATAATGGGCAATAGATTGTACGTAGATATAGCTTCTAATGTTAACGTTCTAACCCTAAATTTGTGTTTTTACAAAATCAATTTTCCTTTTTTGTGTTGTATTACTGGCACAAATAAGTAAATCCACCAGTTGGTCACGGATAGAGATTTTCAATCTAATTTGCAACCTGAAACATACGCGTAAATGATAATCTTGGTTTTACGCATGAATTTCATATATATATTTAATATAACATAAATCACATGCAAAAGTAAAACTGATTATGTATGCAAAAGTAAAATTGATTATGTACGTACGTACGTACGTATTCAAAATCAATCACCCAGCTCGCTTTATAATAAAATACAGAATAAAAATACGAAACAGAAACAGAATTTGCATATTTAGACAAATTGTAAGTTAATTGGCCAACTTAGTTTAGAACACTTCATTATTCACAAAACTAATACGTATTATTGTTGTAAGTAGAAACGGAATTTAAGTGGAATTTCTTAATAAACCTATAATTTTAGGAAAGAATTTCTTAATAAAACTACATTTTTAGAAAAGAATTTCTTAATAAAACTATAATTTTAGAAAAGAATTTCTTAATAAAACTATAATTTTAGAAAAGAATTTCTTAATAAAATTATAATTTTAGAAAAGAATTTCTTAATAAAACTATAATTTTAGAAAAGAATTTCTTAATAAAATTATAATTTTAGAAAAGAATTTTTTAATAAAACTATAATTTTAAAAAAGAATTTCTTAATAAAACTATAATTTTAGAAAAGAATTTTTATTTTATATAAACTTAAACTCTAACTTTAAGATTCTAAAAAAATTTTAAATCTATTTAAATTTCATTTCTACTTACAATATTATCAATAAAATTAGATTCTTTAATAGATTTATTATTATATATTTTGTTAAATATATACAGTATATATATATATATATATATAGAGTGTTTGCAATAAAAAAGACAAAAACAGCAAAAAAACTTCTTTTTACTAATCTTCAATTCTAAAATCGATAAAACAAAAAAACAAGTTTTACTCAAGAAACATCATAGTTAACAACTTTTGAAAGATTAAAAAAAAGTTTTAGCAAGCAAAGAAGCTATAGTTTATTTAGAACAACTAACAAAGCAATAAACTGATAGCAAAAGAAAGACTTGTAAAAATTTTATCAATTTTTTTTAAAAAATTAAATGAATTTTCATACTTTCAAAAATTACAAGAAGAATATATAATTAAAAAATTAACAATATAACAAACAAATAAACAAATATATAAGATCTTTGCTA